ATATTTCAGTCTGATCTTAAAAATCAATATATTGCAGATCAGGACTAATACTAAAATTGGAAACAGAATAGTTACACATTCTGTTATGTGAGGATGTGAAAGGAGGAAGCGTAAATTGAAAAATAAATGGATCGAGTAATTAGCAGCACCCATGATAGGTTTCAGCCCTTTTAAATGGTGAAATTCCAGTCCCAGCCATTAGCTCACCCCAGAAAGTTTGAGATTTTAAATCCAAATAAAAATTGCAGCGTTGTATTAGTTTGAAATATGTTATCCCAGTGGCATGCAGTCAAATTCAGATTTATTCTCCATATGCTGGCTTTACTTCACCCGGCATCAGATGATAAAGAAGTGGTTTTAGTATGTGCGCTATCCAGCTAACTCCGATATTCCTACTGTCATGCATCTTCCAACAGATATACAGTCGACATTGCTGTACAGAGCTTGTGACATGCATGTACATCTTGTAATGCTGTTGCTTAGATTAAAAAGATAAATGAGGTCTTCCTATGCAAACATTAACAGCAACATAATTCAAGGGAAATGGAAGCAAAGAAGACTCAATTTGAATTATGATCATTTAAATATTATTTGATGCTGCGTGTTAAAACATTTCCTTTTATCTTTCAAAGGTAAATTATTTTTATACTGCTGTGAATTTACTTGAAATATCAGGTGTGTTTAACCAAGTGCACTTTGCAAACAAAGCATTACTAAATGGCATATTGCGAGAAGAGAAAATTTGTGTCAAAAATCAGTAAAAAGCACACTTACAAAATTCTAAAATCTTAAATGAGATTCCAATCAACGGCCATATGGCCCTTGCTATACTTCTCGCCAGTAGAAATAAAGGCCATTTAAAATGTTAGTTTTAAATTCAGGAGTGGTGTTGAAGAAGAAAGCTCATTAAAAATTAGGAACATATTAAGCCCATATATCAAAGTTCAAATCAATTATGCAAAATTGATCACTACAGAACATTCATGCACGACCTCGAATAACAGGCATCCATTTTGAAAGCAAACATTCCAATTTGGAAATTTGGCAGGTTATGTGGGATTTCTTCACAATACAAAAGTCTGCAGTGAGTATTTATAGTTTACAGCACAATATACTGCAGAACACAAGGACAGGTCGAATACAATATTTACCATTTGGTGAAAATAAAACTGAACTTCACTATGTTTCACTTCAGTCAGCAGTTGAAAATAAATTACATTTAGAAATCCTAAATAAGTGTGAAATACTTTAGTCTGCCCAACTTACACATACACAAAAATGCAGCCAATAAATAAAATCCCCATTCTCTGCAATTTCCAGCATGTAGCCTTAATTACTAGAGCAAAACTACGTCAACTACTTGCATGGATTGGAACTGGGTCAACTCCAGTTAACATATTCAATTCAGGCACAGGTTGTGCTGTACCTGACCCGAGAGAAAAATATTCTTCAAGTTCGTATGTAGCTACGTGATAGGAGCCACAATAGGTTTTACAAAACTAATCTGACATCTGGTCCAGGAAAAGGTGGAAAAAAAACAGCAAATCAGCCCTTCAACCTATAGTAGGGATTTTGTGTCTCAGGTCAGAGTCACACAACATGGAAACAGACCCTTAGGTCCAACTCGTCCATGCTGACCAGGTTTCCCAAACTAAAGTAGTTCCATTTGCCTGTGTTTGGCCCATATCCCGCTAAATCTTTCCTATTCATGTAACTATCCAGATGTCTTTTAAATGTTGTTTGGGCGGCAGTCTCAGTGGTTAGCACTGCTGCCTCACAGCGCCAGGGACCTGGGTTTGATTCCAGCCTCAGGTGACTGCCTGTACGGAGTTTGTACATTCTCCCCGTGTCTGCATAACTTTCCTCAGTAGTCCGGTTTTCTCTCACAGTCCAAAGATGTGCAGGTTAGGTGGATTGGCCATGCTAAATTGCCCACAGTGTCTAAGGTAGGAAATGCAGGGATTGAGGGGGGCGGGGGTCTTTGATGGGCTGAATAGCCTGCTTCCACACTGTAGGGATCCTATGATCATGTAACTGTACCAGCCTCCACCACTTCCTCTGCAGCTCATTCCATATATGCACCATGCCTTGTCAAAAAAAAGATGTTGCCCCTCAGGTCCCTTTTAAATCTTTCCCCTTAAACCTACGCCCTCTCGTTTTGGACTTGCCTACCCTGGGAAAAGACCTTGATTATTCACATTGTCTATACCCCTGAAGATTTTATAAACCTCACCCCTCAGCCTCCTATGCTCCAGTGATAAAAGTCCCAGCCTATCCAGCTTCTCCATACAACTCTGGTCACAGTAACATCCTTGTAAATCTTTTCTGCATCCTTTCCAGTTTAATAATATCCTTTCTATAGCAGGGTGACCAGAACTGAACACAATACTCTATTAAAGCTTTCTTAAAAGATTTGAATATAGTGGTAGTGCCTGTAGACAAGACTGTAGGATGGAGGAACAGAAGGAGGAAAAAAAAAATCAGCCCAATGGATTTGAAATTTCTCAACTCCACTTTCCTGCCTTTTCCCCATAAACCTTGGTTCACTTACTCATTAACAATCTCTCAGCCGTCAATGTAATTAACAACCAAGCCTCAACAGATCTCTGTGGTAAAGAATTCCACAAATTCACTATCCTCACAACAGAACGTGGATCAGTAAAATTCAGCGTCTGAGGTTAAATTTGAGCTAGAGAACATGGAGCATTCAAATCTCAAAGGTAAACCCTAAATACATAGATGGTACTGAGGGTTGTAAAAGGGTTTCAGACAATATAAATGTTGCTTTTTTTTTCCCCATTGCTAGCCTCATATACAGCAAATTCAAGGTGATCAATTTTAGACAGATCACAAATTAGGAGACCAATGATTTTAAGCTTGGTTAATGACAAACATTACCAGATGAAGACATATCTATAGTTAATATTTAGATCCTGAGCCAGTACTCAACCTTGAACTTGATTAATTAGTCTGCTTCTGGACTGAAAAAGCCCTGTGCAGGTTAACATAGTTAAGAAAAGTATCTCCAAAACGTTCACAGCAATTGTTTTTAACACTGGTTGAAATAGGATCTACCCAGTTTTACCTTGAAGATGTATCTATATGTCTTCATCTTGTAATGTTTGTCATTAACCAAGCTTAAAATCATTGGTCTCCTAACTTGTGATCTGTCTAAAATTGATCACCTCGAATTTCCCTACTTGTTTCAGTCACATCACAAAAACCTTAGCAAAATAAAACTCGGAAAGCCATGGGAAAAAGATTGTACAATGGAGGCCCATTACTGGAGACATTTAGTCACATGTACACTCCCAGAGATTCAGGATTAAAGCAGTTATTTCTCATTATTGAAGTTGAACAATTAACAGTAATAGGAAATTTGGTACAAGCATGGATTAGATGAATTGAAGTGACCTTTCCTTCGTCATGTTGCAATACCAGACTTAGTTTTTGTCGCTCCCTTGAAGAATTACATGCTTCCCTTAACTACCGTCTGCTAGATATGCCACAACAGTTCTGCCCACGGTTAAAGCCAAAAGATGCAATTGGAAAATTCTCAACTTTATAGGAAAATAGTTTCAGCAATGATTGTGGGGAAAACATCTTTGCACTACAGCAGACCTAATGGCACACTCATTAGATGCCTAAGTCTACTCAGGCCTCTCGTCCCACCAGAAGTTTAGGTGTGAAAGGAAGAGACCAGCTTTGCTTCTGAAACAGGAAAACTTGCAAAAAAAAAACAATACTTTGCAAATAGGATGAACTGCAATGAAATCAGGTGTCCAACCTATAATAAGCAAATTACTCAACCAACTAAAGACACTGGCACCTTTAAAACATGTTAACCAACTAAGTTGTTTTAAAAATCAAAAGGCATCAGGAAAAATAAATAACAAAAACAATAACAGGGTCTGTAATATTTCAATTGCTTTTTGATGACTTACGTGTGTTTTAGAAGCACAGAGGACTGATTTTACACAAATATGCCTTAAAATTAAAATGCATTAACACAGAATGCCACAAGGCATGGGGGTGGTTATAAGTCATTTGAGTAATAATCATTCCACATATTCCCCCATCCCCAAAACCAAGGAAAACCAGCACTCTGCACTTCACTATAGGGAGTACCAGAGAACATCACCATGGTACGAATGGTGGCCCATTGGGAAACAAATGACCCAGCTCAAAACATTCTCTTGCTGCCGGGTTTCCCTCACAGCATGCCAACCCAACGTCCACTAGAGGGCGGCGCTGCAGCTTGCAGGGTTCAGCTACCAGGAACCTAATGCAGTAATTTCTTTTGGTGTCTTTGCAAAATGAAGATAAGCTTTCTAAAAAAAAGTTCCAAAATGGTCAAGGTTACTGAGTGGGAGAGGGAGAGAGAGAAAAAAAAACCACAGACGCAAGACTGCAGATAAAGCATTAAGGGGAGCGGTGACCTACAATTCCTTCAAAGCAAATAAACTGGAAAACAAAAGCTGCGGTGCACATTATAAACTCCCTCACACAACTTTGCAATTGCCAAAGACTGAAAAGGCGTCACTTCATACAGACTATGCTCATGACCTCTCCCGCAAATGGACTCTATATTAATTCATTTTTTAATGTTCTGGTGGTGGTGTTGGTGGTTGTGGGGGCGTGTGCAGGACAGATTGAGGTCAGTATATGTAGAAATGCACATCTATGGTCCCTATTAATCAGAGTTGGTTCCAAAAGGAGGGGGGACGCACACAAACAGGCGGCATATCAAAGACTTTCCTCACTCTCCCAGTGAGAGTGTCCAAGGCCACGCGTTTTGACTGCATCAAAAGGTCTCCCCCCCACCCCCAACAAATACCTCAACATCATTCCACAAAATCTTTGCACCATGCTGACAAAACATTTATTTTTGTTCTTGGAATAGTAAATAATGAAATACACACTTAAAAATTGGCCAGCCCGGCCGTGAAAGTTTCCCTTGTCCCAGCTACCCTCCCCCCCAATCCCTTCGCTAGCCCTACCTCAGGTAGTCTCTGCGACAGAGGATGAGATTCGCCTTGGTGTACAGAGTTGAGCCCACCTCTCCCAGGCGGCAGTCACAACAGGCACATTTCAGACAGTCCTCATGCCAGTACTTATCCAACGCCTTCAGGAGGTAGCGGTCTTTAATCTTCCGGTTGCAGCCAGCACAACCTTTCGGCTTGGTGTCTGGCTGAGCTGAGAGCATTTGTATACCTGCAGAAAGGAAAAGGTGGGGAGGGGAATGAGAAGTGCAGGACAAAAAAAAACACAGAACAACACCAGGTTAGTGTCCTATTCCTGCACAGTACTGGGTTGCTCGCGTTAAGCTGATCAAATGAATACTCAGTTTCTAGCTGGGCTGTGTGAAGTGCGGAAAAATGATAACATTACTGCTCCAACTGCCGTTCACTTTCACTGCTGTCTCCGGTGTTCAGGCTGGAGAGATTTGTTGAGAAGCGGCAGCGCATGGTTATATGGGATGGTAACTGGACAGTGCCACCCTTCCCTGGTGGAAGATATGATGCCCATCCATGTGGCAGACCAGGAGACACAAATAACCTACTCTCAGAGCCAGCAACGCGACTTTAATCCGTCATTCACAAAGAAATGGTATTTCCAACAAGTCAAACTTTCCCCATTCACTACTCTCCATTTCACACCGCCCCAAGCCCAGTTCCCCAGCCTGATAGGGCTGAAGATAGCGCCCCTTCCACCCAAGTACTGATCAGTACATTTAAGTTGAAACGATTTTTTTTTGGTGCGGTTTGATGGTTTAATGGACTAACCTCGTGTGCCCCCAGTTGGAAATATCCGCCCCAGTTCACATTGAGATCTCAATCGTACTAAAAGTCCATTATATTGGAGGAAAAAAAGCCTCTTTTTTTTTTAAGAAAGACAATTTTCAGATCAAAACAGCAATTACTGCATTGTCCTCCCTCTTTTCAATAGCTTCTCATACACACACATCCATTTGACAGAAACCTGGATTTATAAGTGAGAGGTTAGGCATGGTCCACACAGTGTTTACATTTCTTAATGATTACACCCATCTCAGTCCATTTAAACAGCGCTCACTCAAATTGCTAAGATTTTATTGTGAACAGACCTCACCGTCACCTTCCTTGCTCTTTTACCCTAATGCCACTTAATTCTCTCTCCCCCCCAAAAAAAAAACCCCAGCTAGACCAGACAGGAGTAGTGAGAATGTTGCAACTCATTACCATGCTCAAGATTAGTAATACTTTCACTGCCGTAGAATAGGTTGCGCTCCATTGTTTTTTTTAAAAGAGAAAAGATTCCTAAATCGATTCTTAACTCATTTATCCCTGGGGAGGACAGAGAGAAAGAGAGATTGAGGGAAAGATTTGGCAAATTGGAAGTTTTGGGTCCCACAACTGGGGCTTGATAAAAAAAACGGTGGTAAATGAGGAGAGAATTTTGCCAACACTGTTTCATTATATCATTGATGGATGGCAAACAAAAGATTTGAGGGGTGGGTGAATAATAAACGTTGGAATCAATCTTAAAGCCGTTTCTTTCTCTCTCTCTCCTGGTTCAATGGGTCCAGAGCGCCCCTGCGGATAACAACCCTCCGGAATTACAATGCAAATAAATGTCCCCAGTTCAGGCATTTTAAAAAAAGCTCTTTCTTTATAAAGCAACTGGAGCTCGGAACCAATTTGATTCCCACTCCCTTCTTAGATGTAGCTGTAAGGCTGAAGAGATACTGACATTTTTCCACTCTTATCAGTTTAATTACAGTTTCCATGGCAGCAAAGTGCTAGTGCTTGGCAAAGGCCAATGAGATTTTGCGACAGCCACCCCAATTTCTGATGCAGCCAGCATACAAAACAACACACACACAAAAAGAGAGAAAAGCCCACTCTCATCGCTAACATGCTCAATTTAATGTCTTTTTCTCCCCCCTTTCTCTACCCCGCGAGAAGAATGGGTTGAATAATGCGAAGAGAGCCATTTACAAATGACAACACTTTTGACAGAAAAAGGAATCCTTCAGAAAGCACTAAAATAAAAAAATCATGCAAGTCACAGAAAGCGTCACGCTGCTTGTATAGGTGGAAAAGAAAGAGAGATTCTTATTCCACTAAAACCTCTGAAGAACTCGGCTTTGTGCAGAATCGCAGACACACACACATACAATAACATTGAGAATCACGTTCGCCGCCTTACCATAAAATAACTTTCCTCCCCTTTTCTGCATCGGTTGTGTGTGTGTGTTTTTTTTTTAAAGGGGAGGGTGGGGGGTTGGTAGGGTGGCCAGGTCTCTAGCAGCTTCTTGCTGGAAGAGCCGGTTCCTTCCCCGTCAGGGTGAACTGGCGGCGATGAGCAAGTACACCGAGCCTGGTCATTGTTGACACCGACAAAAGACACACGCTTCACAAACGTACCGCACGTTTCCAATCGTCAGCCTGACACTTAGAGGCAGTTAGTGTGAATGCGGAATGACATAGCCACACACTTTTTGGTTGGGGTGGGGGGGGAAGGAATTTACTTATAATATAACCCCCCCCTTTGCAATGGCAAGAACTCCCCCACAAAAAAAAGAACTTTTGTATTTCTTTTAAATTAACAAGAATCCCAGAAAATATCTAACCAGAGGAAACTTACCTAAGCCTCTTAAAAAAAAACTCCCCTACAGAAGGGCGCGGTGACAACGCAGAAAAGTTCAAATCATTCAAAAATATAAAATGCACACTTTTCGAAAGCAAAACACAGCCCAGAGTAGCCGGGAAATAGCCAGAGGGATATTCTTTCCACTTACCGTCTCTATTCAACATGAAAAAGAAACCCTCTCCAAATATGTTCAGAATACAGCGTGTACTTTCTTCCAACGCAAGGTCAACACACGGAATGCACTTGAATCGTTAAAAGAAAGTTTTAAAGATAATGAGATCCCCAAGGAACTGCCAGTAATCGAGTTGATCACAACGGAGCTACAGGTGTTCTGTCTGGGTATCCGCAGTGTAACCTTTCCCTGCGACGAATGATGGAGGACAACTTACCTATCAGCTTATAAGAATTGTCCTAAACGAATTCAGCCTCATCATCTGCAAATTCAATCCTTCGCCGGCGAGACACACAATGCAGTAAAAGGTAATTCAGTTATTAGCGAGATAGCGCGGCTGCCGCTACACACACATACACACTCACTCAGACACACACACGACAAGAACACGGCAGCGCTCCCCCAGACTTCGATATTACCACACGCACACTCTCTGCTGTCGACCCAAGTCCAGCAATAGCCCTGGGATGAATCCTGTCTCAATGGCTAATTTCCCCATGGTGAAAATTTAGAAACAGCCGCACGCTTTTGGCTAGTCAGAACCACACACACACACACACACACACACACCGTTCTCAGGGAAGGGTGTGTAAAAAAAAAGCCAGAAAACCAACCTCTTGAGTGCGTCCAGTTTCAGAGACTGCGGATTAATGAGAGCTTTCTTATTGATTTAACCGTTTCACAAAAAAAGTGTAGCAGAGCCGAGTTGTAGTTCCCCCTCCCCGTTTCACAAAAAACCCTTCTCTACTGTTTAGCCCTTTACAACTATGAGATATCAATGCCTTTTGTTAGCCAATACATACACACATACAAAGCAGCGAGTGAGAGAGACAAAATCAAAACAAATGGAACAGCTAATGAGGACAATTAAATTAATTATGTTCAAGGAGATGAGTTTTTTTTAAAAAAAAACTGTGTGATCTGCTACCCCTCGTTTGCAAGGACTGCTCTGTAATTCATGGCAAATGATTAGTGCATCTATGCAAATCTTTGTTTAAATCATTCAACTAATTAAATGATAGGATTATTCTTCTGCCTACAGTGACATCATTTCCCAGTAATTAGTACTCTATTTAGACTGTGGCAATAGATTCTTAATAACACCAGCGAGTTGCAGACGTTTAACCATTTTCTCACGCGTCTGAGAAACTGTCCAAAACCCCGGTTATATATTGTACTTTTACCTCCTCGGAGGTGAATAATACGCCCCAACTTCATTTAAAGAGAAAACACATAGGAATCAATAGTTAACATTCAGCTCCATGCTACTCATTTCTCTCATTCCCATCCCCACCCACCACACAAAATGTAATGATAATAAGATGGGTCATAAAATGCTCCTCTTTTCATTATGACTGATGAAATGCATTAAAACTGACAGGGTATTACCTGACAGTAATTAGGTTTTGTCATGAATTAAATTATTTGAATGCGGACTATCTTCCCAATCGTGCAATTTTCAGGGAATTTTTTAAGTCAGAGAAGAGACAGAAAATAGCATTTCCCCCCTCTCTTCATAATCATATGAATTATTCACAGAATCATCACAAACCATACAGTTGAAGAGGCCCACCACTTAGTGCATTGCACAGATGTGATCAGCAGTGATTACCAGCAATGAAATACTAGGGGACACACACACACGCACAGTGATTTGGTGAACAAGAGGTGGAATTTAATCATCAATTGATATTCACATATTAAAAAAAAACACTAATTCATAATCTCCACAAAATCCTCCCTTCTTTTCATTTTCAAACATAAATTTTTGCATTTACTCCCTCTGTCAAGCCAGAAGGGAGTTTTTAATGTAGGCGAGCATTTTCTTGCACTGTGGGCAAATTAAGTGCTAAATTGAAAACTCTCAAGAAACCCTTTTCAAAAAGAACTAAAATAAAGTAGCCATTTCTTACGTTTTAAAAAAAAATGTTCCAGCCCAAACTGATTCTCAAAAATCTATTGCAATCTTTCCATTCATCGACTAGGACAGTTTATCCCCTATTTCACAAGCACCCTTTAAAATCAAATTCAACACAGAAGACAATAATAGAACTCACCTTATTTCAAACCACTGCTGAGTGGGTTTCAAAGAAAAAGATCCGTCAAGTTTTCACTTTTTTTAAAAACTGCTTTGCACTAATGCGTTGTTTTGAGTTCTTTCCTTTTCCTCAAAATAAGATCAAACAGAAATCCTATATTCACAAATAGAAACACTAAACAGTGTTGTTGAGGCAAGAATTAAGTGTTAGGCTGTTTCTTCCTCTTCTGAAAAAAAAACTCAGTTTCCAGGGAAGATAGAGAGAGAGCAAATTTCTTTTCATGGGGATGATGGCAGAACCAGTTAGTTGTTCCTTCTAACCGCGACAGCAGGGATGAAAGGGCCACCTGTCTCTCTCTTCTCAAGCTGAGCACAAAACCTGAGTGGGCCAGCTTCTTTTCCTCCAGTATTTAAGCACCTCACCAGGTCCCTAGTTAGCAGCTTCCTTCAGCTCATCCAAGAAGCTGACAAGTACTGTTAGAGGAGGCTGTACATGTTGCTCTAATGGACCTCATTAAGTTCTACTTACAGATGTTCTCTTAACATAATTGATCTGTGGTGAGTTGAGAGGACTGAAACTTATTCCCCAGCCCCCAATTACGGTTGGGTAATTAGATCCCCAACCTCCAATTTTTCACATTCACCCTTCTAACATTCCAAAATATCAAAGTATCTCTTTCTCACAAAGCCCCCCTTACTGGACTCCACTCGCTCATAGTATTGACAGTTAGATCTGCTAACCTTTGTAGTGACGCCAGATTTAATAGCACATTCAATTCACTGACAGAGTTCCATCTTTTTTTCCCTCTCCCCCTTTGCTTCCTTTTTATTCTACTCTGATAACAAAGGGGAAGAGAAACTAACTTTGTATGGTTTGTACTTTTTGATAAAAGCTACTAATGATCAGCCTTGGCAGGGGAAATTCTGTTTTAATGTCTTTTTTCAAAATCTGTTTTAATTCCTCAGATAGGAACTTTAAGGAGCAATGAAGGAGAGAGGTGCTGCTCTGAAACAGTGAGGGGAAAATATACTGCACACCTGGGACAGATGAAGCCAAACCACTGCTTTTATAATGCCAATCAGCAACGCTGTTATCATCCTGCTAATTAGGAAAGCAGCCTAAAACAGAGAGCACTTTGGGAAATGGTAATACTATGGTTTTGCACTTAAAAGGGTAGAAATTTCCTGTACTGTAGAATCGTGGATTGGCTTTGACAATCCTTTAACTAATGAATAAGGTTTACTGTGCACTTCTTCTCTGAAACAAAGAATTTGCCAAAAGAACTTTGATGGTCTCAAGGGAATCAAAGGTCACAGCACATCACAAAATTGGTGGAATGAATTTTCAGGATGAGGGAAACAAATTCTACACACACTAAGGCAGTAGTACTTTGCCGAGAGTTAACGCTTGTCTGTATTTATTGCCGGTCTGAGGGTTCAAGGCATTCCAAAATCGATCTAAGAATATTAGGAAGGGTTCTGAAGAAGGGTCACTCAACCCGAAACGTTAACTCTGATTTCTGTTCACAGAAGCCGTCAGACCTGCTGAACTTTTCCAGTAATTTATGTCTTTGTTTCTGATTTACAGCATCCGCAGTTCTTTTGGTTTTTACTAAGAATATTAGGGGCGATTAAATGTTTTGGTTTGTTAAGGGCTCCTTAATGTAATTGTGGGTGAACCCATGTAGCCTTTGTGCAGGATTGTTGAAGACTGAATATAATACTCCTGGTTATAGTGAACATAACAGAGAGAAACATTTCAAAGTTGCACCACTTCAACAAGAGAAATGAATAATCTGGAGGTATGCTTCAAGGTTCTAAGAACAAGCATGTATTGACAACTGCCGGGAATGTTGCAAGACGAGAAGAGGTCAACTCAGGTACAAAGAGGCTTAGGAAATGTGCAATGCACAAGTGCTATATAAATCAAGATCTATGCCAAGAAAATAGACTGCCTGCACATTATGGAGGTTTGGTGATGAGCAGATTTGGAATTACATTTTTGGGTTAGCACAGATGCAGTGAATGAGTTATGCTTGGTGATCTGAGAGAAGCTGTAAGGACATTTATTGATCTGCATTGTCCTGCCAGAAGTAGGGGACCAGCAGCACTTAACTTTGGGGATAATGTTGGAAAGGTTTCCGCACTCAACCATTTTACTGTGTAATGCTCCATGATGAGCTTGTCTGAAGCCTTGTATCATCACAACCTAGTCACGCTCATTTTAGCAAGCAAAATCCTTGCCTTCTCCAAAACGGGTGGCATCTTCAAAACATGCACACTATATAAACAGCCACAAGAATACAAACCACCTGATGTTTGCTGGGTTGAAATTTCCAAGAGTGGGCAGGAGCTCTGGGCAGAACACTGTCTGACAGCTCTTTTTTTAACAGGCCCTCTGCCCCATAGTCAGTGTGGCCAACAGTATTTAGCTCCCTGTCAAGTTCGGAATACAGCAACAGAGACTGCATTGCAGGATTATGTTGGCTTCCTGCATACAGGGAAGAGATTGGAAGGACGAGAAGGAGGGGGCAGCATAGAGATGGTGGGTAATATAATGGGCAGGGGTCAGAGAGACATTGGGCTAACATTTCTAGGGTAGGGGGTGATGTGGGCAATGATCATTGGCAGCTTCATCATGGGTGAGGGCCTCTAATTGAAAGTGGGGGGGGAGCCAGGCTTTCCTGGAGTTCTATGGTGGAGGGGAGCACTCCTGTCCTCCTGGAAAGACAAGTTTGATTCCTCAGCAAGTAACATTTCCCTCCATTAGTTTCCAGGTTTCCAGCCCTCATCATATTGAATGGTGGAGCAAGCCCAAAGGGGTGAATGGCCTATTCCTATTTTCTAAGTTCCTAAGTTTCTATCCTTTAATGTTTCCCAGGCTGCAGGAACAGTGGGCAATTAAGAAGGCAAATGGTATGTTGGCCTTCATAGCATGAGGATTCAAGTATTTTTTAAAATTTTATCCATTAACAGAATGAAAATATTGCTGGTATTTATTGCCCAGAGGGCAGTTCAGAGTCAACCACATTGCTGGGAGTCTGGAGTCACATGTAGGCCAGACCAGGTAAGGATGGCAGTTACTTTCCCTAAAGTACATTAGTGAACCAGATGGGTTTTTCCTGACAATCGATTCATGGTCATCATTAGATTCTCAATTCCAGATATTTTTTATTGAATTCAGACTTATGAAGAGAGACAGGATCGGTTAGGACTGTGTTCACTAGAGTTTAGAAGAATGTGGTGTGCGATTTCTCATAGAAAACTATAACATTCAAACAGGACTAGACAAAGTAAATGCAGGATGAATGTTCGCAATGAGTGGGGAGTCCAAAACCAGGGGCCACATTCTAAGGATATGGAGTAGGTCATTTAGGACTGAAATGAGGAGAAATTTCTTCACCCAGAGAGTGGGGAGCCTGTGGAATTCTCTGCCACAGAAAGTGGTTGCAGACAAAACATTGACTGTTTTCAAAAAGGAGCTAGATATAGTTCTGAGGGCTAAAGGGATCAAAGGGTATCTGGAGAAAGAAGGAACAATGTACTGAGTTGGCTGATCAGCCATGATCATACTGAATGACAGAATGGACTCAAAAGGCCAAATAGTCTGCCCCGCTCCCATTTTCTGTGTTTCTAATAACGTGGGAAATCTGTCTGGGGGGTCAACATTAAAGCTAGAAGAGTCTGAGGTAGGCAGCTTCATTAAAATATTTAAGTGAGTGACCTGAATCCTGTGAGGAGTTCGGTTCCCCATGACCTTGCCCCTGCTTTGTTAAAATTGAGCACAGAAAAGATACAACGGAATATACGGAACCTACAGTGAGGCATTCTGGGTGGATGGTTTGCAATGCAGAGTGGCACTAACAGCATGCGTTCAATTCACACACCAGCTGAGGTTACAATGTTGGACTCTTCTTCTCAACCTTTCCCCTCACCTGAGGTGTGGTGACCCTCAGGTTAAGCCATCGTCAGTCATCTCTCTGTAATGAGAGAGCAGCCCTTTGGTCCTCTGGGACTGTGGCAACATTACCGACATTTATTACTAGTTTTATGAACCAGTTCCCTTTTACACATGGTATCTTTAGCCAGCCTATGCCAGCATTCTTTTAATTGTCGTAACAGTGAGCATTGTTCCATGATGAATACTCCATCGAAGTTGCTTTCTGCAACCCATTCTCTTTCTTATCATGTGTGGTATAATATTTCTTACATCGGGGAGAGATGGTCCCCTGGTGGTAATGCCACTGGATCAGTAAACTAGAGGTCCTGGTTAATGCTCTGGGGGCAGACAATGGAATTTGAAGGCAGTCAATAAATATGGAAATCAAAGCTAATCTCATCAATGGTGCCCACATAAACACTCATCTGGTTCACTAACATCGTTTAAGGGATAGAAATTTTCCATCCTTTCCTGGCTGTTCTACATGTTATTCCTGACCCACAGCAACATAGTTAATTCTTAACAGCCGTCTGAACTGGCACAGCTAGTCATTCTGTTCAAGGATAAATACAAATGAGCAACAATTACTTACCTTGCACATCCCACCGAACAATAAAAAAAATCCTGTTTATTACGTTTTTGTTATTATTTCTCTGAGACAGTGCTGTCAAACCAGAGCCAAGCCGATCTGTAAGACCAAAGCTAAGACACCTGTCTTTGAGGATACAGTTTATTAGCTACTCAGTCTTACAGCTCCTTCCACACACTGGCCCCAGTTTTATATCTACCTAGTCAATTAATTACTCAAATAACCCCAATCACCTGCTTAGATACGTGCTATATTAAAGTAGTAAGGGCGTGGAATGCCCTGCCTGCAAAAATAGTAGACTCGCCCACTTTAAGGGCATTTAAATGGTCATTGGATAAACATATGGATGATAATGGAATAGTTTAGGTTAGATGGGCTTCAGATTGGTTTCACAGGTCGGCGCAACATCGAGGGCCGAAGGGCCTGTACTGCGCTGTAATGTTCTATGTTCTATGTTCTAACAAGTGCAACAATTTTTGTTGTAATTTTTAATATACTTGCCTCCTGCCTACGAAGTCAAATCTAACTACAGATCTAGTCTCCTTTCCCCCCCATTTTTCAATTTATGGAATTTCACTTAAGCCTTCACTGAATTTCAGACACCAAGGGCTGAAATTTCCTGTTTGCAGTTTACGTGTAGAGGTAATTGAGTTCCATAGTGCCAACGGTGCCATGGCTGGGCCAATTTGATCTTCTACCTTCACCCTCAGAAATTAACAAGTCAAATGTTTCATTGAGAATCCCATTGTGAGCAAGACAGAAATGCACAACACTGGCTGGCGTCATCCAGCTTTAATGCCTCTGGCATTGTATTTGAAGTATTTTAAGGGGAGGCGATGGCCTACTATTATCGCTGGACTGTAAATCCAGAGACCCAGATAACATCCCGGGGACCCAGGTTCAAATCCCACCACGACAGATGGTGGAATTTGAATTCAATAAATATCTGGAATTTAGAATTTACTGATGACCATGAATCCATTGTTGCTTGTCAGATGAAAAACCCCATCTGGTTCACTAATGTCCTTTAGCGAAGGAAACTGCCATCCTTACCTGGTCTGACCTACATGTGACTCAAGACCCCACAGCAATGTGGTTGACTCTGAACTGCCCTCTGGGCAATTAGGGATGGGCAATAAATGCTGCCTGGCCAGCGATGCCCTCATCCTGTGAATGAATAAAGAAAAAAAAAGTCTAGT